TCTTTCTCTTCTTACTTGACTTCTGAAGGATAGTTACTAGTCCTTGGGGCGATTTAGGTCTCGGGGTTATTAAAGGGAGTATTTCTCGTTCCGCTTTCTAGTTCTCGAGTTCTTAGAGCCTCTTCTTAATTACTTCTCTATCCCTTTATCTCTTAATCTCCTTTTCTAGTAGTATATTCCGGCGGTCTATATCGGCTTAATAAGATAGGTCGGGTAGAGAGTCGGTTATATAATCCATCGATATAGTAGTCTATATAGGGGGGTCTAAGGAGAGGTCTTCGGGGAACTCGAGGACTTTAGTCTTAGATCTAGTCTTAATATTATATTTTTCTAGAAACTTATCTCCAATAATAAGGTCGTAGTTATTACCGGTAACGATTATCGCCTCGTATTAGAAAGTCCGGCCTTAGATCTTAATATCTCCGTAAAGGATACTATTAATCTTCTACTTTCCACTCCTATCGTACCCTCCTATCTAGGCGGGGTTAGCGGCGTACTTAACTCGGTCGAGGTAGAGAAATTTCCTTAATCGTTTAGTAAAGGGGATACCGATAAAGATATACCCGGTTACTCCCGTATCTATAAGTATATTAGTAATAGATAAAGATATTCTATTATTTATTATAGTATAATCCGCGAGGAACTTAGATCCCCCTAATAAGGGTTTCTAATTAATGAATTTGCCTAAATCGTAATATATTAAGGATACCTTCCCTAGGAGGGAGTTCATATTCCCTAGGGTCTCTAGTTTTCCGAATCGCTAGAAGTATTGGAGCTAGTAGAACCGGAATCCGTATCGGCCGGCTTCTCCTTCTTATTCTTGCTCTTACTAACGGAGGCTACTAAGGGCTTCTTTTTATCCTGAGCTACCTTATCTACGGCGGTTTTCTCGGGGTACTCCAACTTGGTATGTCCGAGGTTACGGTAATAGAAGTAACGACCCTCCTTAATAAATTAGGCGATTTCTTCCTTACTAAGTCGGCTTCTTAACGGTCCGGATCCTTTAGCCGTAGGCTATATAGTAGGGGTACGCCTTACGTTACCGTTATTATTCTTAGCTCCGGAAGGGGTATCCTTCCGACGCTCCTATCCTTACTTAAGACTTAGGGATATAGCTAAGGCTAAGCGAGTATACTTCTCGAAATTAATACCAGGGTCTTCGTAAGAGACTACGAGGTTAGTCTAGAGTATAGTAGTTAACTTACGCTTGAACTCGCGCTTCTACTTAGACTTGGGCTTCTGGTACTACCTAGCTAGGCGAACGAACTCGTTCTTGAACTTAGGAAAGTCATCTCTAGGTCGAAAGACCAGTTTCTCGTACTTAAATAGGGCTTCGTCTTCCTCAAATTAGTCGTAGTACTTATTCTATAGGTAACTTAGTAATTCCTCTAAAGTAGTAATCTAGTTAGGGGTGCCCGTTCTTATATAAGGAAGGAGGTTTAGGGCTACGTCTCCACCTAGTCGTCCCTAGATATAAAAGACTCTAGTCCTATCGGTAACGAAGTGGTCTTTATTTCCCTCTAACTTATTCTCTATTAGTTAGTACTATATATTAAAGGTCACCTAATCCTTAGACTTATCTACCGAGAAGACCGGGGGGTCGGTCATTTTAGTACTACGATCTATCTTGGATCTAGCTAAGACCTCCGTTATATTAATAAGGGGGGTAACTCTACGGCTAGTAGATCTCTATCTTAGGGGAGTAGGAGGACCTTCCGTAGTATATAAGTTCGGGAATATATTAATAAGATAGGTCGCGATTACGGCGTTAAGGCTCGTAATTTACTTACTCAGTTTCTTCTTATCTCCTTAGAGACTTACCACTTACTCCTAGATATCTTCTTTCTTATTTATAGTACTAAAGAGTTCATCCTTAAGACGCTTAGCCTAATCGTTAATTAAGGCTAAAAAAGAGTTATCTTATCGTATATTTATACGATAGTACGGTCGAGGTCGATAGCGACCGAATAGAGGTCTATTACCTACTACTTATAGGTAATTATTATATTATAGCGTAACTTGAACTCGATAAATATACTCTCTAGGTGCTTATAGACTAGCTTAGTAAAGTTATTATAGTCTATCTAACCTTCGAAAGGGATCCGACCCTCGTTAGCTTCTACAAGAACCTAGAAGGGAATAACTAGGGCCGTTTTTCCGCTCTAGGGGTTAACGTCTACTAAGGTCTATAGTCGGGCTACTAGATCTTTAACTAGGTCTTCTATCGTATTAGTAAAACGAATATCGGGAAGAAGACCCTTTATTCCTTAGATCTATTCCGATAGGTTCTCTAGTTCAGGTATTCCTGAACGACTACCCTGGGGACTTCCTTAGGTAGTTGCTATGGCGTAATCGATACTAATACCGACTACCGTCGATCTTCGACGTAGCGAGGTATTAGGTCGACGCTTGTCGCTATTAATAAAGCTCTCTACGGCTTCTAGGTCAAACCTAACCTCCTACTAAGTACGCTCGCGCTCAGGCTTCGACATCGAAGTGCTCTGGGGCATGATGTCGGTGGTACGTGGCGATCGCGCCGCGTATTAGTTCTGGGGGGTTCTGGGTTCCTAACGATTCTTCTCGCGTAGTCGTACGCGATCGTCAATCAAGGGTGGGATATTATTTGGGCCTTCCTAGGCAAAGGAAAAGAGCTTAGTTAAATATGAAGGCAGGTATATACAAGAGGCGAGGCTATAAGTAAATAGTGACTAGATTCGTAGATAACTAAGCTAAAGAAAGGAAAAGGAAAAGAAGAAGCCTGCGTACCCTGTAGGCTGGCAGTTTTGTGGTGGTATGCGGGGTCGTGGCCCTAGTCCCGATTGGGAGGAGTGGGGCCTTCACATCAGGGCTTGCAGCTAGGGCATGGTTGCGGCACCACGGACCTCAGTTCGGCCGTGCCGTGACATAGGGCTAGTCCGTCTATTAGGAGGCGGTCGGCCTACGAACGGATATTTCGGATTACGGTTAACTAGTAATAAGCGATATCGTATAGCTATACTACCTGCCTATAGAGCGTATATATTATAATTATTCATAATTTTATTTCGCGTTAAAGCTTATCGGGGTTATACGACGCCTTACGCTCGAAATCCTTTATATCTATTAGCCCCTTAAAGGTTAGGTCCTTATTCTCCGGGAGGAGCGTTCAGAATAGTATAGCGGGTCCCTTCTTTCCGCGTTTAACGAATATAGCGGCTATATTAGTAATCTTCTACTAGAAATCACCCTCAAGGTCCTCGAGAGTTAGATCAAACTATACTTTAGCGATCTCTAGGAGGATAGCCTAGTTATAGACTTCTCGATTGATTTCGGCCTTACTTATTCCCGGAACGGGGTTACGAATCGTTATTATAGGAACTCTTGCCGATATAGTTCTTATAGTACGAGCTAAAGTCTCGTATTCGCGGACTAACCGGGAGAGAATAGTATTAGAGATCTTATACGGCTAGGCTTTAATAAAGTTATCCTATCGGTAGGCGACCTCCTCGAGGGCCCGCTGGAGGTTCTCCTCCATAGAATAATCCGAACCGATAGTAGATATTCCCTCGGTTATATAGGGACTTCCCCGTAGGTTTATACCGCTTGGTACGACTCCTTCCGTACGGTCGCTAGGTTCTGGTCTCGTACAACTAGTACGTACCCTTCTTTACGACGGTAGTGGATTTTAACGAAAATAAACAAATCTTCGGTGGGATATTCTTTAAGGCCTTCCTAGGTAATAGGTTATGAGCTTTAGATTATTACCGTATAGTCGATTTAATAAGATAGGGCTATACTAATCATCGTTATATTCGTAGAATCTAAAGCTAAGGAAAGAAAAAGAAAAGAAAGTTCCAAAAGGCTACGCGGTACGCGGAGAAGTGGGCTAGGTTTTGTGGGTCACGTGGCAGGACTTGGCACGGGCCACCAACAGCGGGGTTGCTTAGTTAGCTCGAGTCGTGTAGCGTGCGACCGATTAGGGCCACCCAAATGTCCTTCGCACCTGCCGTGACAGAAGTTATCTTCCTTAGGATATTCCCAAACCGTAGGCTAAGTCGAGATTATAAATTAATACCTGGAATAACGACTTCGACCGTTCGTAAACTACTACTAAGATAACTAGTTAAAAGCGATCCTTACTATGGACTTCGCCTAAAATAGCCTACCGTACGCTAGTACGGGAATAGAACCTTACGAGGTACTATTCGGATTCGAAATACCTACCTAGTACGATTGGACCAAACGTACTAAGCTAGCGGGCTTGCCGACTAGGGAGAAGCTAAATAGGGAAGACGCTTAGGATACTCTAAGAACGATATAGAAGTACGTCGACTACGTTAGGGAGATAATTCAAAAGGTATAATAAGTATAGGTTAACTAGGCTAATAAATATCGCCGAGAACCGGACTTCGGCGTTAGCGATAGAGTATTTATTATTAAGAAGAATTAGTCTATAGATAGACCTAGTAATAAGCTAGATTTCCCTCTTATACGATAGTACTATCGAATCGTCGAGATGGTTAGATACTCCTATAGATTAGAGGTTCCTACTAGCTAGAAGGTAATAGATATATTCTATACGGATACGCTTAAGCGTTATACTAATAACCCGCTACTAGGATAAGAAGTAGAGAATCCCTTAGAGATAGTTAATAAGGAGGAAGAATAGGAAGTCGACTATATATTAACCTCAAGAATAACGTACGGCCGCCTCGAGTACTAAGTATAATAGAGAGGCTAGGACCCAGATCCGACGTAATACCTAGCTAGGAACTTCAAGAACGCCCTAGCGAAGCTATACGAGTTCCACGAATAATACCCTAACCTAGTAGGGCTACCAAAGCGCCTATAGTTATGGACGGCCATATATATAGCCGATAAGATAGCCGACGACTACGATAAGGATAATAGACCTATTAATACGGGCGAACGTAAGCTACGAAGATTAATAAGGAAGAAGTAATTATAGGGCCGAGCCTACTTAATTAACTTTTCGTAACGAGATTTCTAATAAACGAGTAGGGTCGCTGGTCTAGCGGTATAATACGTTATCCTATATCTTCTATCTTAAGGATAGGCCTAGGCCTGTCCTTAAGGTAGGAGTGAGTACGAAGTCGTAGGTTCGAATCTTACGCGATCCAAATTTTTTATTTTTTATTTTATTCTTCATGAATAAAGGACCCCACGCGCGGGAGGGGGGGGTAATGTTACGGCACGGCTGAACTGAGGTCCGTGGTGCCGCAACCATGCCCTAGCTGCTAGCCCTAGTGTGCAGGCCCCGCTATTCCCGATCGGGACTAGCACCACGACCCCGCACACCACTACAAAACTAGAAGCCTGCAGAGCCCGCAGACTTCTTCTTTTTCCTTTTTCTTTCTTTAGCTTAGTTATCTACGAATCTAGCCATTCTTTACTTGCAGCATTATCTCCTATATATGCCTACCTTCACAGTTATTATATTAATATAGTAAGTTAAACCAGCCTAGATTTTGATTTCTAGGCTAGAAATAAAAGGATCTTAATTAATTAGACGTAAGATATGCCTTTTATCGTATTCTATAAGGACTTTCGGGCGGCTAGACCTGTCACGGTCGGCACCAGCGCCAAGGCCCCACCACGGATTTAAGCTCATTACTAGCCCCGATTAGGATTAGTCGTACGTGACCTCCCGCAAGCCCCAGAGGTCCGTGCTCCCTAAGCCCTAGCCCATACTTACCCCGCGACTATAATCGCACCTTTGTAGATTTTCTTCCTTTCTTCTTCACCTTAGAATCCTTAGACTATGGTATAGCTATATTAGCGATCCTTTTCCTAGTTGCTATTAACCGCTATCATATTATTCTAAGGTTAATATCCACCGCCTGGGAAGGCTTTCTAATATCCTACCGACCTGAAGAAGAAGAAACCGACTAATAAGATTGACCTGACGAACCCCGACCGAAGACTTGAAGTATCTCCGTTACGATGCCGAGATCCCCCGAAGAAGCCGCTACTACTACGTAGAAGGCTAGAACTGAAATTGACTATAACCCTATAGCGTTGGACGCTATAATGCCGCCGTACCCTAATCTAATGCGAATGGGAGTAGTGCGCGGAGCGTCGCGCCTATCCCTTAATATTACTAACCCGCGTATTGCTATCGATGAAAACGAGACCTAGCTCGAGTTCTATAAGCGAGTTATTATAGCCGAAATGCCTAGGGAACGCTTCGAGATGACGACCGACTAATAGCGTATTAATACCGCACTTCGTATAGGTAAGATCGCCGAGTATTACGGTCGCCGAGCGACTATAGGAGTAGCTTTTTATTTCCGCCCGATAACTAATAAAGGTATCGATACTTAGCCCGCTTTTAATAGACTCTACTTACGAGACGACTTCGCCCGTATAGTGAAAGATAATAAAGACGCCATATACTAGGAATTCAAGTTCCGAGCTATCGCTATAGCCGCTTTTCGAGCCCAGAACGCCGAATTACTAACCACCGCTAGCCGACTAGATACTAACTAGGAACTTCTTTTCTAATAGACTAAAGTATTTACCTAGAATATTAAAGAGGTGCTGAAGAACCCTAACGTCGCTCTTAGCGATACCCAAGCCCGTATCGCCAGCTTGGAGTAAGAATTATAAGATAAGGTCGCCGATACGTTCGACCTCTAATAGACGATCGCCGAGTAAGCTATCGAGAATCGCAAGCTTAAGAACCTGAATACTCCGAACCCGACTCCGTCGGTTACTTCTATTCCCGACCCCTCGACTACGATTAATATTAATATTAGTACCTAGAATACTATTAGGAATCGTAGCCGCCTACCCCGTACTATACCGGCCCTATTAGAGACCTCGACCTAGCGAGCTACCCGTTCCGCGAAGATTAATAGCCTAAAGCCCTAGAACGCCGACCCTAACGTAGATAAGGTGGAATTCGAGATCTTCTATTAATACTTAATAAATAAGTTAGAAGGTAACGCTAACCACTTTACTACCGACCGCGTACGTATAGCGTATATCGAGAACTATTTGGTAGGTATAGCCTCGGATACGATTAATCCCTATATATCGAATAACCACCCTGAACTAATTACTACTAGTAACGCCTTACTCGATCTTATCTAGTCCGAATAGTATAACCCGAATCGCCTTAAGACCGCTTAGGATAATTACGATAAGTTGGCTATAGAAAACGTCGGTAACGATTATATTAAGTTTAAGAATAAGTTTATTCGTTTAGTAGGTAAGGTCCGTAAACCGAAGTCGGAATGGATTATAGAGTTCCGCCGTAAGATTCACCCCAGCTATATTACCGCCATAATACCTATATTCTTGGCCCCGGACGCCACTTTCGAGAGCGTCGCCAAGTACGGATAAAGTATTACCCGAAACTTCACTAACGTACGTTAGCGAAAAGAGGCTAAGTAGAAGGACCTAGTTCCTACCGTAAAGAAAGACAAGACTCGTCGTAGTGGTAGTTACCGCCTAAATACCCCTATTAGGAACCCGAAGCTAGTAGCCTCGGGTAACTCCCCGTCGCTTCCCCTACGTCCTAATAAGACCGAAGTTATATAGCTTACTAAGGAAGGTCGTTACTTCGTATACCGCGAGAAAGGCTACGTCTAGAATAATTGCCCGCTTAAGGAGTAAGCTCGTCGCTAATAGGAAGCCAAAATCCGAGCTATTATATAGCAATTTAATTCGGACTCGGAGAAAGATAATAGCCAGTCTTCGTCGATAAGCGATAATAACGATACTAATATTAAGTTAATAAACTAGGCGCCCTAGGAAATAAGGACTCCCTCCTAGGGAATATATCCCTAAGATTGACGAAGAAGAAGATAGGATTAAGTATATTAAGATAAGGTATTTCGTTAGAATAATTAAGTAATAGTTCCTTTAATATTAGCCCCCTTATTAGTGGAGGTTCCTTCCTCTATAACTATAGTATAGCTAATAATGGATTTTCTCTTTCTACTTCTAATATATTAATAGATATAAGAGTAGATAGTTATATATTTATAAGCCCTAGATTCGCTAAACGAATAGTAAAGTACCTATAGTCCGATTAACTAGATAACTTTCGTAAGAGAGGAGTTTCCGACTATCGAGGTAAGCCTATATAGGATATTAGTAGGCTAGTACGAGGGTACCTCCGTATATAAGGGCGAACTATTTATAATAAATGGATAATTATACTCGAGATAAGGTACGATATCCTTATTAGTAAGAACTGGTTCGCGTACTACGACGTATAGGCGGACTATATAAAGTAACGCCTACTATTCCCCCCCGACTAGAACGTTGACCCGCGGTACTAGATAGATATCCTAGTCGGGAAGACCAAGCTTCTTAAGAGTAAGAGCTATTAGGAGGATATAGTACGGAGGTAACGGGCTATAGACGCTAAGGATAAACGACGTTAGGATAGACGTAGTATCCGTAATCGAATTAAGATCCTAGAGTAACAAGCTATTAAACTAGAACCTACTACTTCTCCTACGCCTACCCCTACTATTCCCCGTCTAAAGAAAGTTCGTTTCCTTAACTAATAACCCCGGAGGTCGTCGTCTAGTAACTTCCAATAACGCGAGCTAAACCGTATAGAGCGGGAACTCCATAATAGTAGTAGTAGCGATAATAAGGAAGGTTAACTAAGCCTACCGGAACTAAGTTAACCGAAGGTAACGATTACTTCCTTATACCCGGAAACGGATATTCGCGGGCGATATAAGATAAAGCGAGACGCTATTAGCTAGTATAAAGAGCGTATACCTAACCTACGTATAGTTAGAGCTATATCGTTCTTTAAGACGGCCTATAAGGCGTAGGACTCTATCCATATTATATCGTTATATAAGCTAGACCGGTATATCCAAGACCGCCGGGAATAGTAGTTACTAAAAGACGATATAGATCTAGCTAAGAAAATTATCTAGACCGTCCCTATAGTGTACTATAATTTCCTAGACGTCTTTAGTAAAGCCGAATCGGACGTTCGTATACCCTACCGCCTAGGAAAGGCTAATCACCGTATCGAGCTATTAGAAGGTAAGACCTTAGAGAAAGACCTTATCTATAGCCCTCTCTATAAGATATCTCTAGAGGAACTAGAGGCTTATCGTATATATATTACGGAGTACCTATAAAAGGGATTTATCGAGCCTAGCTTAGCCCCTTAGGTAGCCCCGGTACTAATAGTAGCTAAGCCTAGAGGAGGACTCCGTTTTTATATCGACTACCGACGACTGAACTTAATTACCTAGAAGGATCGGTACCCGATCCCCCTTATCGACGAGACCCTCGTGCTAATTACTAGTAAGAAGATCTTTACCAAAATCGATATCCAGTAAGCCTTCTATAGGCTAAGAATCCATAACGATAATATCGAATTAACCGCGTTCAGGATAAGGTACGGGTCCTACTAGTACCGAGTCCTACCCTTCGGGTTAATTAATAGACCCGCTACTTTCTAGCGATTTATTAACGAAGTATTAGTAGAATACCTCGATATATTCTATAGTACCTATATCGATAATATTCTTATCTTTTCTAACTCCCTAGAGGAATATAAGGAGTATATTAAAAAGGTCCTCGCTAAGTTAAGAGAGTACGGCCTCTAGGCCGATATTAAGAAATACGAGTTCTATATTACCGAGACTCGCTACTTAGGCTTTATTATCGGAAAAGACGGTATACGCGTAGACCTAGAAAAGACCTCCGTAGTTAGAAACTAGGAAAGGCCTACGACCGTAAAAGGGATCTAGTCTTTCCTCGGGTTTTATAACTATTTCCGCCGGTTTATTAAAGATTATAGCCGGATAGCCCGCCCTATAACGGACCTTACGAGGAAAGACTAACTATTCGTATAGTTACCCTATTATTAGGAGGTATTTGAGGAGCTTAAGTACTCCCTACTTACCGCCCTACTACTCGGATACTTCGACTTCTATATAGAAACCCGTATAGAAACGGACTCCTCGAACGGCGTAGTTACGGGAGTACTCACGTAAATAGGGGAGGATAGCGAATAGTACCTAGTAGCCTATTATTCGGAAACCCTATAAGGAGCCGAGTATAATTACCCGATATAAGATAAAGAGCTCCTCGCTATCGTTAGAGGTCTAGAAACCTAGCGTACTATACTATA